CAGGGAAAGAGTCCACTTTTAAAATTGCTACCACCTAACCCCCCCATGATTTTAATACGTGGTGAAGTTTGCTAGACACTAGGCATTTTAGCATTAATTTCAACCTGCTCTCAATAATTCCAGAATTAATCTCAGAAATGGACTCTATTCTTGGGCTCCCGACGATAACTGTGCTCCTGAGTCACATCCTAATGGCAGAATCTGTTTTATTCGTCTTCTTCCCTCACTCTTTCTGATGATCGTAATGGTTGTGTTTCAACTCTTATAGTGCCCCCGCCCCCTCCAATAATAGTTTGCTTGTTGGTTTTGTTTGGGGTAACATTTCTGACTCATATGTAACTCAAACGATAGCTCTATCATAGTGGGTCAACAGGAAGAGTCATCCTTTCAACAATGACTAGTCTCCCGAATTTAGAAAATCAGACAATATGCTTTCCTTACCCACCACATCCTGCATATGCTTGAAGATAGTAATCAAATTTGTGGATGTGACGGACACAGGGTTTTTATATATTAGGACGTCAAACTTGTCAAATTGTACACTTTAAATATGTGCAGTTTATTGTATGCCAATTATATCTCAATAAAACTATTTATTGAGATGTGATGGACTATTATTTTGTCCATCAAAATAATTTTAAAACATTTCTAGAAATTGCAATTCATTGATATTTCTCAACAAACTAGACTGTGGTGATCACTCAGCAGTATAAACAAATATCAAATCATCATGTATACCTGAAACTAATATAATGCTATCAATTATATCTCAATTAAAAAAATAAAAATAGGCATTTTTCTTACTGTCGTTCGAGTGGCATTCTCAAAGAAAATAGTTTGGCCCTATTGTAGTTTAATGTCACAGTGTCTGACATAATTCTTAGTGGTTGATTCAAAATGTTATTGTCTGTCATAAGAAAATTCATTCATACATTCACTCACTCATTCATTCAGTTAATATCTACTGATCACCTATGATGTGCCAGGTATTCCACATCAGTATTTGATGATGAATAAGACATACAAATAAGATGGAACACTTAAGGATGACAAGTAAACAAGCAATTACAATATTTGATAAATGCTGTGAAATTATCAGCAGAAAGGCAGTTTATATTCTGTACTTAAAATCTCTGACTGCACTGCAAAATTAAAAACAAATTGAGGTTAATTAAGCTAGAGGATATTTCTGAAGTTTTGATTACAAAGGAATGAGGGGCACACTAAATTTTTTTTTGAGGTTAATTAAGCTAGAGGAAATTTCTGAAGTTTTGATTACAAAGGAATGAGGGGCATACTACATATAGTAATTAGAAATAGCAATATACAAGGTAAAGCTCTTCTAAAGGCTTGTAGTCAAACAAGCAAATTGCTTTCTATATAAGTGTTTCCAACCAGAGTCTATTCATTCACTCAGATAGGGGTAAGGACAGCCACGTGAGAAGAGAGGTGACTGAGAGTGATGCCTTTTGAATTGGGTGGTCAGGGAAGGTCCCCCTAAAGGAGGGGAAATGTGAGCACTGACCTGAATGCTGTGAGAAGTTAGTGCTAAGGGGAGATCCCAGTGAAGAAAATTCCAAACAGAATGATTAGCCAGAGTTAAGGGTCTTGAAGTAGAAATAAGCAATATAGATTCAAGGAAGGCCAAGCAAGCCTGGACGGCCAAAGAAGTATGAGAGAGGGAGAAAATGTGTGGTGAGGGAAGAGAGGTAGCCGTGGAGAGAATTGGGCATCGAGAGGCAGATCATGCAGGTAAAGAGTCTGGATTTTATTTTAAATGTGATGGGAAGCCATCAAAGAGTTTTGAGCAAGGAACTGTCACAAACTGATCTATACTAATATTTTCCGAGAGTCACTCTGGTTGGGGTATAAAAACTGACCACAGGCAGGAGTGCAATAGTTGATGTAAGGAGACTAGCTTGGAAGTTGTGGCAATAGTCCAAGAGGTGGTGACAGCCACTGAGGTGACAGCATGGTGACAAATGGCACACTGGAGATGTGCTGAAGACACAGCTGAAAGCACCTGTTGATGGATTGGAGATGATACTCAGGTTTTCAGTTTGAGTATTTGGCAAATTGTGGTGCCATTACTTGAGCTTGGGGTGAAAGGGAGGAGTGAACAAACACATCAAGGGCTTCATTTTGAACACGTTAGGTATGAGATACCTAGTACATATCCAAGGAAAGATACTGAGTGTGCAGTTGGATTAACAAAAAACAGTACATACGCTGGGGAAATGTTAGGCATGGGGGTCAAAATTAGGAGATACCTGCATAGAGATGGTCTATAAAGCCAGACTCTCCAATGAGATCTCCAAGGGAACACCAAGGGGTGAATACAGAGGGAAAGAGGGAGACGGGGGAGCACGCAGTTCCCAGAGCCCTCAGGCCTACAACTGGGCAGGAGGAGAGCCAGCAGAGGAAGGAGCCTGAGGATGCTGCTGGCATGGCAGGAAGAAAACCAGAAGAGTATCTTCTGGGAGCCAAAAAGAGAAGATGTTTTAATAAAGAGGTAGGTTGTTATCAACTTTATCAAAAGTTGCTAAAGGGCTGAGTGAGAATATCAATTTATATAAAAAGAAAACACATAAAAATATGAAACAAAAAAAAGAGGGGATCTGTAGTTATTTGTGTGGGAAAATTAGTTTATACAAAATTAGTTTATGATTCTACAAATGTTAATTGAACAGTTTTATTATAAAAATCCAATGTTTAATCTAAAAATAATGGCAGATAATAGTTTTTATGTCAACAAGAAGCACACAAATACAGCAGTTAGGCCAAATGGCAACCAAATTGCCTTGAAAAGCTACCTGCATTGGGAGGAATGATTTCTACCAACATTGAAGAACTTCAGCCAGGGCTATTTGAGTCAGATCAAAATACGAAGAGTAGGTTTTAACTTTCATAAAGGGGTAAATCAAAATGTCCATCACTGGTGAGTTTCTATCAGATAATAACCAAAAGTTTATGTCCAGGTAAATGCCTCCATGTTCCATTTTAAGTGAAAGAGCTACTTGTATTTCTTGGTCTCTCTCTAGATAGTTGGTGACAGCAATGACTTCTGTGTAGAGTACTTCTTCCTTGAATGATTTGGAATATTCCAAACAGAGATTGGCTTTCCCTTATCACATAAAGTACTCTAAATTAATTATGTACCCACTTAGCTGGTTTAATATTAAAAAACAACAACAAGTTTGGAATGTAAATCAATAGCTGTGTAAGCCAGTCATGATTAGAATATAAAAGTAGCTTACAACAAACATCTATTTTTCGGATCTTCTCTAGCCATGTCAGTAATCCGTAGATCCGTCATACAGGTGAGTATGTTATTTAATCAGCCTCTAAAATAGGAAGTACTAGGCACTCAAAAATAGTTGTTTTAGAATAAAGATATGCTTATGGAATGTTTAAAGTAAGAGCTACTATTTGGGATTCCTCTTAAAAGAGTTGACCGGTACCAAAGCAGAGAGAGAGTCTCACAGCATAATGATTGAGTCTATCCGTTTTTAAAATCCTTCAGCAACATAAACATATACAATTTGATTCTCTTGTCATTGCTTTTCCTATTCTATCATAAATGATGCTTTCTTTACTATTTCAAACGCATAATAAAATTGCTAAAAATTGAAAATTCAATTTGCAACATTACTGCTAATTTGAATAATGGCTGAATAAAAGACAGGAAACGCTGAAACAGCAATGATTTCTAAAACATTTTGCACTTTCCTCCTCCATCCCTGTAAAGTAAAGCTCGGATGCTACGCACAATTACACAAGAAAATCAAGAAAGCCATTACATTCAGCATTTTGTCATGATCATTGTTACCATGGCAAAAAGCGGGCTTAGTTTAGCACAGCTGCTACAGGCAGGTCTGCTGGCCTTTAGTAAGGCTGAGTAACAATATAATGCCCAATTCTGTATTCTGCCACTGTTTTCCTCCCAGGATAAGACTATTGTCCATAGATGCTACTGTCTCATTCCTTAACGTTCTGGGCCAATGTCATCTTACTCCTGTATTCTTACTCTTCGGCAGTGATTGAGGAACACAGTTCATCTAGGAAGGTTACTCCTGAATCCACCTCCAAAGCCAGTTTCAACACTTGTATTGTAAATGAAAATATAGTTGTGCTGAAAATAACTCAGGGTAGCAAGTGGGAGAGACAAATGCTGGCCTTTGATAACTAGCTGTAGGACACTTATTTTCTCTCTTTGAGGATCAGTTAGCTATCTGTAGAGTGGGAGTCAAAGTGACTTCCTTGTGAGAATTAACTGAGATACTGTGCAGGCCCAGGCACATAGTGGGTACTCAGTAATATGGCATTAATAAAATGGCTGGAATACGGTTCTCCTTCAACACCACATTTTTCTTAATCACTGAGATTTCCATGACCTTGGGAATGTTGACAGTGAAGTTGGTAGGTAAACTGTTTTCTATTGCTGGAAAGTAATTTGTTTTGACTTTTTATATAGGGGTGGGCAAAAATAGGTTAATAATAATAATAATAAATAATGCAATCCTTAATTCATAAATAAAAATAGTATAAGAATCAGCACTGTTTTGGGTACTCACAATGGTAAACCTACTTTTGCCCACCCCGTGTTGTTTGTATTTTCTATGAGAGCTGAGGATAAAATAGTTTTTAAGGTCTGACAATAGGCATGGATTTCACATCAAAAGGATAAAAGTCAATGTCAGTATCATAATGTGAACCACATCTTATTATTCATAGTTTGAGTGACACCAGTATTATCACTATAAAATGGAAAATGGCATATACTAATTTTGACCTCATGCGAAGATTTTTAGTTTTAAAAAATGAAGCTACATTATGAAAGCAGAGAAGTTTAAATTATCTGAAATGAATACATTAATCAAGTCTCTGTATTTACTAGAAACAAAGGCTACCAGCATTTTTACCAGCTAAACAAAATATTTTTTCTAATGAGATTTCAGCTGAATATCGTTTATCTTAAGAGAAAAATAATGGGACCTTACCTATTCCAGTAGCTCCAGAACTGGTCATGCAGGTAGGCGTGGTGGCTACATTCATCACCAAATGAGGCTTTGCTTTCAATCCAGTGAATTATGTGCCCTTCCACAGCTAAGGGACAAAGCATTACTAATATGGAGCAAAGGAAAGGGGAAATTGAAAATTCTGAACTCTGCATAGGCCTCTCTATGCTTCACATTAATGAGCAGAGGCTGAACCCTCCCTGTCATCGATGGACATAATTATAAAACAACACATTGGATGTGTTTGTTACAAGGAATATTTGTGCTACAATCACATCTCTTTTATTTTCATCATCATCTTCAAAAGTCCTAGTCCTTCTCCTATTCTGAGACTGTGTAAGTTGACAAGTAATATGAAAGGAAACAAAAGTAAGCCTGGCTTTGTAATAGAACCGTATTTTAAATATGTAATATTTTGAGAAATGACTTGAAAACGGCAACTAAAATATCTTCAGACATTTATTTCTCAAATATATGTACGGATTTTAAGGGGTAGATTTCGTCTGAATCTATTATTATCTGCTATTTTAAAATAATCTTTTCCAATGATTTCACCCATTTAGATACAATATTATAAAGTAAATCTACTCTGGTAACATTTGGTAGTAGTATAAGACTTTTTTTTAAATCTATGAAAAAAACACATTCCTTTTCTCTATAAACAAATGCATAACGCATAACAGAGTTTAAGAACTTACCTACTGGTACTTGTAAAATAAAGTCTGGTGTTTTGTCATAACCCTTTGCACGGAGCTGATCTTCATCTATAGGAAAAATAAATACTATTACTTATTATAGTATTCCACTAATGAGACAGCAACATAATTGCTTTTCTTTCTTAAAAATGTATAGAAATTACTAAGACAGTTATACATCTTTTTCTTATGCATACAACACTGTCAGAATACATGAAGAATAGATATAAGAATGCCTCTTTGCCCCTTCTGCATTTTTATGTCTTTATTATAAACTTTATAATTCAATTTGTCATATGCTACTTTTGTTATAATTGAAAATATTCAAAATAATGAAGTATACTTACTGATTAAAAGAAAAGGTTTCATTACCATGAGCATCACTAATGTTATTAGCCAGCATTGACAATTTGCAGTAAGGTACAGTGGCCTTTACAATTATAAAACAAATACTTTTATTAAAGCAATTAAGAAAGTCTAGTTTCTATTAGTGAATCTATTCTTACACATAAGAACACAAGAAAGGGACAAGGACAATGAGATCATCACAGAGAATTAATCATCCCGCTTAAATCCTTTGGTATGCTATTATTTCTGACATTTACCAGAATTTTATAACCAACAATATGTAATTCAGACTTCGAGATTTTTTTCTAGGTCTGTTTGATTTCTTGATCCTGTATAAATGTCAATGATCCATTCAGAAGGAAAAAAGGATGAGAAAATAGAGAGCTTTACAAAGTTTGAATAAACTAGCTAGGTTCTTGGTTAAAATTTTTTGTTTCCCTCTGATATTTTCTAAATGCCGTCCTTGACTTCTAATGACATTACAGCGTGATTTCTGAAATGAGGAGTTCTCCATTAAATTTTGGAGTGACCTGGTCATTCAATTCCAGACATGGCTTTCTGTCTTCACCCAACCTCAACTAATGGCCCGGCCAAGTAACAAGGAAGGCTGTGTGGTCTCTTAACACCTACTGGGCTGTTGACATTGTCAGGCATCCCATTCGCCTTCCTGCATCACCTTTGATTAAAATTAATGGCCCATTCCCAGGGTTGGGTAGCTTATTTCCAATCCATTTGTCAGCCCAAGACAGAGGTTTCATGGCCAATGTTCAGAAACTCAGTTTGAGAACAGTCCTGTGTACATCTTGAAAGGTCAGCGTTTTGGATGTAAAGAACATTTTAATGATAAGACATATTTAAACTAGATATTTAAGTTTTATTAAAAGTTGGTATCCTTCAACTACCCAAATTTTGAAGGATTGATGCCACAATTCAGAATAACCTCCCATCTTTGAACTATAAAAAATTTTAAGTTACCTATTTATTGAGATAAGAAAATACACTATTAAAATAATCTCACTTCAAAACCAAGAGAATTTGGAAAACAGGATGGCAGACAAACAAGACTGGAAACACTTCTATTCTCTAAATGCGCTCTGACCACAAGAATGTTTAATGGAAAAGGCATTTGTTATAATCAACACAAGCGCCTTGAGCTGATGTTTCAGGTAGCTGATGAACAGTTTTAAATGCTGGTTGACATTAAAAAAGAGAAATTAGTATTTTATTAAAACTGTCCTAGCTTGATCAAAACTCTGCAGACGTTCAAATCTACTTCAGAAAGAAAAATGATTATGTTTCTGACAGCAGCTCAAAACAAAATTTCAAAGGTCACCAAGCAATCCACATGCACACAGTAATATCCTTTTAAAAGGCAGATGCCGCACTCTGGTTCACAGGACAACAGTTCCTAGCACAACACCTACAATGACAATGTAGACTGCATGACGTACTTAATATGAAAATAATAATAAAAAAAACCAAACCCTCAAACCTGAACATAAAAATCAGTGAGGCTAGGGAATCTTTCCATCTATCTGTGGAGAATTGGAAAACCCCCTACCCTGACCCCACTTTCCCAGTGCTCAGAAAGGATAGCTTCTAAAGCAGTGGTTCTCAACCTTTCTAATGCCATGACCCTTTAATACAGTTCCTCATGTTGTGATGATCCCCAACCATAAAATTATTTTTGTTGCTACTTCATAAGTGTAATTTTGCTACTGTTATGAATCGTAACATAAATACCTGTGTTTTCAGATGGTCTTAGGTGACCCTGCTAGCGGTTCTCAACCTGTGGGTCAAGACCCACAGGTTGAGAACCACTGCTATAGAGCCTAAGACAATTGGAAAACACAGATATTTACATTACGATTCATAACAGTAGCAAAATTACAGTTATGAAATAGCAACGAAAATAATTTTATGGTTGGGGGTCACCACAATATGAGGAACTGTATTAAAGAATTATGGCATTAGAAAGGTTGAGAACCACTGTTCTAAAGTAAGTGTTACCACTAAGAATTATATACATATACAGGGATTGGCCAGATTATTATAATCTCTGAATATATAATCTGGTCACTCAGTGTATATCCTACATAATAAAAGGCTAATATGCAAATTGTCCCCTTGACAAGTGGTTCAACCAGCAGGCTGGCTGGCCAGCAGCCCATATCCTCTCCCCGTGACCAGGCTGGCCAGACCCCACCCATGCACGAATTCATGCACCAGGCCTCTAATACACACACACACACACACACACACACACACACACACACACACACACACACAATGAGTGGCCAGATTATTATGTGTTCAGAGATCATAATAATCTGGCCACTTAGAGTATATATATATATTATCTATCTATCTATCTATCTATCTATCTATCTATCTATGAATGAAGAGGTTATTCTACACTCTGAAATACTATGTGGTATGTTGGCTATTTTCTCTTTACTGAACTCCCAAGGCTTGATTCAACCTCCATACTACTTCTTTTATCCTAGATTTCCTAAGAACAAAGGAGGGAACAACTTGGCAAAATTCACATGAAATGACAGTATAAGAATAGGAAGCAGCATTTATAAATAAGGGGCCTTGCTCACCTGGCCTAGGCCCCTAAGAAATTTTTACCATTGATCATATAGGGTTTTTTTAAGGTCATCCCCATCCATTTGGCCTGATCCCCAGACCTTGAAAGGTTCCTTACTATTAGGATCCTTATCTGAACCACTGGATATAAATTTAAAACTTGGTTGACCATTTGGGGGTCTAGAGGCTATGACTCAGTCATCAGCTCACTCTTCCCTTCAGCCTCATTCTCTGTTCACTCCCTTGTCTCATTGCTGAACTGTCTCCCACATACGAGGTCTGAAACCTCTGCTCTGAAAACAGAACCATTTGTTCTTGCCGGTCTTGTATCTATCTTCAAACTTGACCTTGGCCTCCCATCAGGCCTGTGCTGTAGAGCAGGGTCTTTGAAAATGTCCTTGTTGACGACAGTTTTGTCCAAAAGGATATCCACAGAGTACCTTGTGGGCATGAGGTGATTATATTTATAAACTTTCACAAAAGATTTGATCTTTGACCTCTGGACAATTTCTTTCTTGCCCATGGCAACTGTCACTTTTTGGCAGTAGTGGTCAATTTCAGCCACTAGAGCATGGCTGTGGGGGTGGTCCGATGCCATCATCAATGTTCTTCACAATGATGGCTCTGCGTCAGGAGTAGTATCCAGCTAGGACCAGTACCATCTTCCCAGATTTCATAAACTTGCCCATTTCGAAGGCAGCCACTGGTGCCTCGAGCAGAAAGATTGGTTGCTTCTTGTATGTGCTCTGACTGGGGATTGAACCCACAATCTTGGTGTATTGGGACAACACTCTGACCAACTGAACTATCAGGCCATGGCAACTACAAGTGCATTTTAGAGACTATTCATGTCTTCCTAGATGATCTGAAAACACAGGACAAGTGATAACCATTTTCAGGATATTATTATTTAGATAACACCTGCCTGAAGAGATACACTGCATAATCTTTTGATTTCTAGAGGCTCCTCTCTCCAACTGAGCTAAATAAAAACTGAAAACAATTGCATCCACAGATAAAGTGATATTTCCTCATTTATTTTGTTGTTAGTTGTGCCTTTAGAGGACATTTTAAAGAAAAGTTATATGGCCCTAGCTGGTTTGGCTCGTGGATAGGACATCAGCCTGAAGACTGAAGGGTCCTAGGTTCGATTCTGGTCAAGGGCACATGCCCGGGTTGTGGGTCCAATTCCCAGTAGGGGGCGTGAAGGAGGCAGCCTATCAATGATTCTCATCAATGATGTTTCTCTCACCCTCTCTTTCCTCTCTGAAATAAAAAAAAATATTCTTTAAAAAAATTACACGTACTTTAAGAACACTGTGAAAATTTAATTCCTCTGGCCTTTTAATTATCAGCCTCTCTAAATACCCAAAATATCCAAGACAATTCAGTAGTAATTATACAATTTCTTTTTCTTTTTCTTTTTTTTTTTTTTTTAAATAAAAGTCTGATTTTGAGTCAGAGAACAAACACATCTGAAAATAGTTAACATGTACTTAAGAAAAAAGAAGGGCAGGGGACCACCAAGAAGAAGTTTGAGGTATTATTCTGTTTTTATTAAAAGGCTTTAAATTTAAAGAAAGAAATTTAAAGTTAATTCCAGAGACATTGGGTAAAATTTCAGTCCACAACATCTGAAAACAAAAAGGGTACATTCTAGTATGCAATTTTATCTATGAATTTGTCAAAAGCTTTTTAAATGCTAGATTAAAAAATATATTTTTAGCACCTATATTTTTACTAAATTGGGGAAAGGCAAAAACTATATACATCAACACGAATGATAACTATATTTTTTCCCCCTAAGGATTGCTTTGGTTATTCAGGTCTTTTGTGTTTCATAGAAGTTTAATGATTTCTCATTCTATTTGTTCAAAAAATGACATTGGGATTTTAATGGGAATTGAATTAAATCTGTATATCGCTTTGAGTAATATGGCCATTTTATTGATTCTTCCAATCTGTGAACACAGAATATTTTTCCATTTTGTTATTTCTTTTTCAATCTCTTTTGATAGTGCTTTGTAGTTTTCATTATATAGGTCTTTCATGTTCTTTGTTAAGTTTATTCCTAGGTATTTCATTCTTTTGGTTGCAAGTTGGTGGGAACATAGACTGGTACAACCACT